CAGCAGCTGCTGCTGCAGCAGCGCGAACAGTGCTCCAATGACCCCCACGCACTTTGGAAGCAAATGCTGTCTTCCTGGCAGCGCAGCAGCAAATACTCAGAGCCCTGCAGCTTCATGCGCAAAGTGGCTTTTGTCCTGCGCGAGAGACGCGCTGACGCTGCTGCTGCTGCTGCTACTGCTGCAGCTGCGGCTCGTGCTGCAGGCCCAGCTGCTGCTGCTGCTGAAGATACTTTTGATGCTACAGCACTTTCGCCGCCGCGCAGCAAAAGGGCCTGGAGACCCACCAGCACTGCCTCTCCAGCGCCTGCTGCTGGCAACTCTGCAGCTGCTGTCGCAGCAGCAGCAGCTGCTGCTGCTCCACAAGCGGCAGCAACTACTGCTACTTCTGATGCGCTGCAAGCGGCCAATGCAAGTGCTGCTTTCCCGATGTCTGGCATGTTTGCTGCTGCTGCAGCAGTAGCAACAGCTGCTGCTGCTGCTGCTGCCGCGTTTTTTGAGCCAGCAGGGCCAGCGGCGGAAACGGTCGCTGCTGTCCCACCAACTGCTGCAACTGCTGCTGCTGCATCTGGCTCGGCTGCAAGAACGAGCCCCGCGGCAGCTTCAAGCGATGCAGCAGCAGCAGCAACAGCAGCAGCAGCAGCAGCAGCGGACTCCAGTAGAAGGAGCAGCACTAGCTCTCTCAGTGCGGCAGACGAAGCGTTCTTGCTCCTCGGTGCGCACCAGGAGACGAAACCCAGGAGCAGCAGCAGCATCAGCAGCAGCAGCGGCAGCAGCAGCGGCCACGCAGCAGGTCTTTCAACTTTGCAGTCGCTCACTACGGAAGCTGAATCCAGCAGACGCAGCTCTGTCGAGACAGAAGGAAACGGGGTTTTAGGGGCTGGCGGCGGAGGCAGCAGCGGAAACAGAAGCAGCAACAGCAACAATGAAAGCAGCAGCAGCAGCAACAGCTGTTGCCGCGATGGTACGAATTCGCTTCTACGTGGCAATTCGGGTATCAGTGGGCTTACCAGCGCCTCCGGTGGAAGCAGAGGCAGCAGCAGCAGTAGCAGCAGCAGCAGTGGCAGAAGCAGCACCGACCGGGGAAGCCCCTTGGAGAGAGCCGAGAGCAGCAGCTCTGCTCTCCCCAGCTGCAGCATTAGCAGCAGCAGCAGCAGCAGCGACAGCAGCAGCAGCAGCAGCAGCAAGTGGGGCGTGCGCACACTGGAGGTATCTGGGGCGTACACACTTCCCAACAGCGCCTTCTTTGCAGAGTTCAGCGCCAGGGGCCTCATTTGTGTCTTATGTGGAGAAGACGAGGGGGGCCCCAGTGGGGCCCCCGAGGGCCCCTGGGGCCCCGGTGGCTTCCCCCCAAGGGTTCCCCGGTACAACCCTTTTAAGCGGAGTCTTTCGGACTGGTTGGTGTTTGACTTGGACAGGCTGAAGCGGGAAGAAGCAGCAGCAGCAGCAGCTGCTGCTGCTGCAGCTGCTGCTGCTGCTGCTGGGGACGCGGGCTTGAGCCGGCCGCAGCAGGATGAGATCGATGAAGCTGCAACTGCTGCTGCTGCTGTTGAACTCTACAACGAGGCAGCAGTGGCCCGCAGAAAGGCCCGCGGCTGCTGCTGGCCGGACTGCAGCAGCCGCTCTGCAGCAGTAGATGAGGCCGATTTGCCAGTTCAGGCCTTTTACGAACCAGCAGCAACAGAGTGGCGGCTGCAGCAGCAGCAACGAGCAGCAGAAGAAGAAAGGAAGAGAGAAGCTGTCAAGGCGTACAGGAAAGTCGTCCTGCGCTGGATAGAAAAACAAAGGAGGAGGAGGTACGCTGCAGCAGAAGCAGCAGCAATAGCAGCAGCAGCGGAAGCAGCGGCTTCTGAAAGGCAAAAGAAAGAGCAACTAGCAGCCAGCCAGCCACCAAGTGCTGAAGTTGGTGCGCCTCGAGGCGACCCCAGCAGCAGCAGCAGCAGCAGCAGCAGCTTCGGCAGTGGCAGCAGCAGCAGCAGCGAGGACAGCGGGCGAATCGCCTTTTCTAGGACTGGCGATGCCAGCGGAGCCAGCCACAGCGCCACCACTCCCACCGCCAGAAGCAGCAGCAGCGGCAGCAGAAGCAATAACAGCAGCAGCAGCAGCAGCAGCGCGGGTCCTTATCCGTGGTGGCCTTCCTCCGTGGTTACTCAGGAGCTGAAGCCGCTGTCAAGTGTGGTTTGGCTGCGGGAAAAGGCAAATGCCTGGGCCCTCATAGACTGGAAAGTGGCGCAGATAGACTCCAAAGGAACTTTAGTGATTCTTGACTTTGCACACCCTGACGCCTCCCCCCTGTGCCCCCTGGCGTTTCTTTGATTAGTTCATTTATTAATCAAGACTCTGCCGTTTTTGTCAGAAAGTTCTTTTCCTTTTTGCTGCACTCATTTGGCTGCTCGGCGGGCCTTTTGAACCGCTGGGTCTTCAAGTCATTTGCAAAACGGGGCCAGCTGCTGCGGCTGCTGCTGCTCTAGGGGCCTCCAAAGCCCCCAAGGGCCCCCTGGGGGGCCCTCGGGGGCCCCCAAAGGCATCTCTTTGCCTGGCGGGGTCTAATTTTGTCGCTTATTTCAAACAAACAGGGGGCCCCGAACGCCTGCAGGGAAAGCGCGGCTGCTGCTGCCTCTGCGGCTTCTGGTTTTGTCTGTAGCACGTTTTAAGGCATTTGGCTTTACAGACTGAACGTTTACAAATAAATGTCTGCATTTGTACTTACATTTGTGGTATCCAGGCTCAAGCACTTCGTGCATAATCGGCAAATGCAAGTTCGTTCCCACTAATGCGTACAGAACATTCAGATCAGTTGCACAGCAACAACGATTTGCTGCAGCCACTTTAAAGTAGAAACAAATAATTAGTGAAGTTCTCTGATTTTGTTGCTGTTTCCGGGATAACTTGATCTGTTTACTGATCAGTAGAACTCCGAAGTAGAACTCCGACAAAGTAGAGCGAGAAAATTGCACAAGAGGAAGGTGGTGGCAACAACCAAAAGCTTTCTAAAGAGTCTTCGCCATTGTCTCTGAAACTCTCAATAAGTCTGCTGCCAATAAATTCGGAAAAAGACCTTTCTTTGGCTACGAGGACTGCAGGAAGTTGGTGTCTTGAAAGGAATATCAAATACACTTGTGTTTATGCACATCAGTGTGTTAAAGGAATGCATGCGCATGCAGATCTGCTTCCAAATCTGTCCAAAAGTGCAGACTCTAGCTAGCGTTCAGTGGCACTTGAAAGCGGCAGTATGAAACCAGGCCCGGAGGCGACAAACGTAAGCAGCTGCAGCTGCAGTAGCAGCTGCAGCAGCAGCAGGAGGCACTAGGCCTCCCTTTTGGTGTCTTCTGCTTCTGCTGTGTAGTGCAGAAACTCCTGGCCGCCCATGTAGGGCACCAGGGCCCTTGGGACTCGGAGGCCGGTGGGGGTTTGGTAGTTTTCGAGAATGCAGCATATGCACCTTTGGGTGGCGACGAGAGTGGCGTTGAGGAGGTGCACGAACGGCTTGGCTTCTGCTGCTGCTGCTGCTGCTGCTGCGGCCTCCTTCTTGTGGCCCAGGCGGATCTCGAACTCCCGCGACTGGTAGTCCGTGCAGTTGCTGCAAGACACCAACTCCCTGTAGGCCTCGTAGCCGGGAAACCAAGCCTCCAAGTCGTACTTCTTGGCAGCAGCGTCGTTGAGGGCCCCCGAGACGATGGCGACGACTCTGTAGGGGAGCTCGAGGCTCTGGTAGAACTCCTCCGCAGTGGCGATCATCTCTTCGTGCATTTCCCAAGACTTCTCCGGCGAAGTTATGCAGAACTGCTCCACCTTCTCGAACTGGTGCACGCGAAACAGCCCCCAGCAGTCCTTCCCGTGGGCCCCAGCTTCCTTGCGAAAGCAAGTGCTGCTGCCTGCGTACCGCAGCGGCAGCTGCTTCTCTTCAATGCGCTCGTGCATGTGCAGCGCGCACAGCGGCTGTTCGCTGGTCGCGATCATGAACATGTCGTCCCGCTCCGCCTCCTCCTGCTTCCCCTGCGCCTTCCCCTGCTGCTTCCCCTGCTGCTGCTGCTGCTGCTGCTGGGCGCTGCTGTCGTGGGGGATGCGGTAGAGGGTTTCCTCGAAGTCCTTGAGCTCTGCAGCCGCAGCCATCACCGGCTTCCGGATGAAGTACGGCGGCTGCACCGGCAGGTAGCCTTTCTTTGCGAGAAAGCTGAGGCCATATTGAATTAAAGCATAATTCAACATTACTGCGGGGCCCTTGAGGTAGTAGCCTCTGTGGCCAGCCACCTCGACGCCTTTCTTGAAGTCCGCACCCTGCAGGCGCGCGAGCACCTCGTGGTGGTGCATGCGGCCCGGACTTCCGTCGATCTTCATTCTATTTGGAGTCCCCCAGGTCTTCACAACTTTATTTTCGGCTTCGTCGCTGCTCACGGGAACAGAGTCGTGCACGAGGTTGCCTATTCCCTTCAGCAGCCGGTCTCGGGTCTGGGCGGCGGCCGCAGCCTCAGCCTCCAGCGACTGCAGCTTCCCCTTTATTTCCGCGGTCTTCGCCACCAGGTCTTCGCAAGAATCCTTCGAGTTCGCCTTTTTGCGCTGGCCGATCTCCTTGTTCACCGAGTTCAAGTCCTTGCGGCCCTGCTCCAGCGCGTACGTCGCCTCGCGCCACCTCTTGTCCGCAGCCACCAGCTGATCCACCCTCGACGGGTCCCTCCCTCGCCGTCTTTCGCTCTCCGCCACCTTCGCGGGGCAGCCCCCCTTCTCCTCCCGCAGGAGATTTATGTCGATCGTCATCGTCTGCGCACACACAGCCCGCAGCCGCAGCGGAAGCCTGCAGTTCAAGTTTCCAGCGGCGGCGCTGCTGCTGCTCGGTACCCACTCAGACAGCTTTCAAATTCATTCCGCACCGAAACTCAAGTCCTACTGGGCCCAGAAACGCAGAAACAGAGGCGGTGCAGCTAGCGAAGTGGCGGGACCGGGACCACCGGGAGTGACACAGTCCATAGTTCCCGCCCGCGACTTCGGGCGTTTCCGCGGAAACTTACAGTAATAAGACAAGAAAAAAGAGCAGCTTATTGCTTCACAGCAAACAAGGAACAGAACATGTAGTTGTATTCATGCTGGATACACGCATGCATCGCGTTCCAGCTGGGTGTGGCTGCAGCAGCACCCCACAAGCAAACAGCTGAAACACCTAAGCCTAGCCAGACACAAAGTAAAGGGAAGCAGTTCAAATGTAACCGCTAAAAACCGCAACAAATTAGCGAAAGGAAAAGACGCAATAGCGCACCTGGCTGCAAGGAGCTGCAGACGGGCCCTGTTCACTTCGTCGCCGTTTCAGATCAGGTGAGAGTGGCTTCACGAAAGGCCGGAATCTCCCGCTCTAAAGCGCCTAGTGAGCCACTTTCAATTTAAAATATGAATTATTAAATTACACTTATTCTGATTATGAAGCAGTGCACGAAAATCTGACGAGCGAACTCTTACGGCACACGGGGCTGGTGTTGTTTGAATTGGCATTGCGACAACACTGCTGCAGCCCCCCCCCACAGCGCTATCGATCACACCGGTCCCCTGCGCCAGTATTTTTTCTGTTATTCTTTGCATTCAATAATTTTGCATCGCCACATTAGACGAAGATGAAGGTTTATAAATGCGTCTTCTCTGGCGACGAGCTCTGCTCGGATTCATACCCTCATCTGGTGCCGTTCGATGATGACGCGTTCAAGGACGGTACGTGCTCATTTTCCAGTTTTTTTTTCTTTCATGCTGAAGATTTAGATGAAATTCATGTTTATGTTGCGTGTAAAGTGGGTACAGATCTGAAAGAGTGAGTGCTGAGGGCCTGCAAAGGGCAGACAGGACGCAGAAGATAACCCCGGCAGCTCCAGCCCAGCCGTCAAACAAGAGGCCCCAGCACGCGGCGCTTCGCATTCTAGTTATTTTTTTCCCAATATTTATAATTCTTTTGTGATGTCTGTCCTTGTTTGGGAGGTGTCTGGGGAAGCTGAGGGATGAAGGGTTGTACATGCCCTTTTGTATTCTTGCATGGAGCCGCTGCGCCTTGCGTTGGCTGTGCGCAGTTGCCTTTGAGGTGAAGGGAACCCGCGTCACGAAGGCAGCGGAGGACTTCGGGATTGCGGACAACAGGTGGGCGGTCTTCAATCAATTAGAGTTATTTAATTCAAAATTAACAAATTAGTTGAAGTTGGGTGAAGAAAGAGCGAAGTTTGCAGATCCAAACTGCGCTTTGCACGCGCAGCTGCTGCAATTCAAGTTTTCTGCTTTCGTGCGCTGCAGCGAGGAAGGCGAGGGCGGAGTCGAAGATGCTGCGGAAACAGTTATAGATATAATAAATGCATTTCACTTGAGCGAAACCTCTTTGACAAAAAAGGACTTCACGACTTACATCAAGGGCTATTTGAAACGCGTCGTGGACTACCTGCAGGAGCACAACCCCTCCCGCGTGGAGGCTTTCAAGACTGAGTCCGCAGCTCTCGTGAAGAAGATCCTCGGCAGTTTCGACGATTTCCAATTCTTTATGTCCGAGAGCAACGACTTCGAGGCCTCTCTGGTCTACGCGTACTACAAAGACGAGGAAACGGCCCCCCGATTCATATATTTGAAAGACGGGCTCAAGGAAGAGAAGTACTGAAGCCCGGGGGGTCCCGGGGGCCCCCGGGGGGCCCCAGAACCCCTTGCTTTGCCAGCTGCTAGCATATCGCTTTTCTTAGCATAGACACAAACGGCAGCAGCGCGCTGCTGGTTTTGCCGCGTTTGTAGGCCGAAAAGGGTGTAGAGCTGGCGGCCAAACGCCGTGCATGCGCTTAGTGTTCAGGCGTACGTACACCTCAGAGCCAGGGGCTCCTTAGTTAGGAAACAGCCCCACTCCAGAATGCTCATTTAGGCCTCTAGCTGCCCCACAAGGCGCTGCGGCTCTTCTTGAACTCAGACTCCGCTTCAAACCAAAAGATGTGTACACTTGCGGAGGGATGCATGCGTGACATTCGCAGCGCGAGGTGTCTAGACACTCTGGGAATGACAGTGCAGGTTTACTCCGGTGCAGCAACACTGTTATTTCCAGAGTGTCTAGACACTCTGGAAATAACAGTGCAGGTTTACTCCAGTGCAGCAAATCATTTGTGTCTGTCGCAGCAGCTTCTCTTGCTGCTGCCTCTGCATGAGGACCGGCTAGCGGGGCTGCATGCATGCAGCAGCTGCGGCACTTTGAGTTTCGCCTAGCGTTGTTCATTTCATTAATGGGTTCCGTAGGACCCTGCTGCAGCTGCGCATTGCTGCCTGTGGCGCCCCTGTGTCTTGTGCATTGTTTGAGAGAAGGCTACAGCAGCAGCAGCAGCAGTTGCTGCTGCTGCTTGAAGCTCAACAGAAACCCCTTTTCTACCCCGTAGCAGCCAAAGGGGGGTCTTATTATGTGAGTCAGAGCTGCCAAGAGGGGCTGCTTTGAAGGATTTGGTGCTGCAACAGCAGGTGCCCCGAGCAGCAAACTAAAGCAAGCACTGTGAAGCACTGCAGCACCCAGGCTGCAGCGCCCCACAGTGCTTTAGCTGCTCCGGTGCGCGGCCGCTGCGGCTGCTGCAGCTGCTGCAGTTGCTGTAGCTGCTGCAGCTGCTGCAGCTGCTGCAGCGGCAGCCGCTGCTGAGGCGCCCTGAAGAAAGAAACCGCCTCACTAGACCTGCAGCAAGCTGCTGCGGCTGCTGCTGCTGCTGCTGCTGCTGCTGCTGCTCTTGCTGCAGCGCTGACTGGCGGCTAGCTGCCGCGACAGGGGAAGGTCTTGTGAGTTGGTGGAACGAAAGCTGCACTGCATTTTGGAAGATCTGCTGCAGGCAGATGGGCGCTCGGGGCTGGCTGCGCTCCAGGTGGCACAAGGAATTGCTGCAAAGGAATCAGCAGAGGCAGCAGCAAAGGCAGCAGCAGCAGCAGCAGCAGCAACAACAACAACTAAGTGTCTGGGTTCGAGGGATGCCGTATTTAAAGCGGCTCCCGATGTCCGGTGCCCTAAGAAGTTCAGAATGGGGATTTTATAGCTTCTCGTGTTGGTGAGCTCCGCACTACTTGCCTCGGTTCCGTGCTGCTGCTGCTGCTGCTGCTGCTGCCCGTGCTGTTGCTGCTGCCGCTTTGAGGGGAACTGACCTTGAGACTTGGAGGCGTCGTTGCTGCCTTTAACTCTAGAAGATTGGCTGCTGGCCGATATGCCCCACGAGCCCCATGTTGCGCACGGAAGTGCACCAAAGGTGTCAGCAGTAGCAGCAGCAGCAGCAGCAAAGGCAGCAGTTGGAGCAGCAGCAGCAATTGCTGTTGATTTGAGAGACACAGATGCTGAGCTGCTGCGACCCAGAGAGCCACGGGCAACTTCACATTTCTCGCTGGACTGCTGCGTGCCACTAGCTGTTGTCCTAGACCCTCGTTCTTGCTGCTGCTGCTGCTGCTGCTGCACTTGCTGCTCTTTCGACTGTGACTTTGGAGGGAAGGCAGTTTGCGACTTGGCAGCACGAGAGCTTTCCAGAATTGTGGCAGACGAAGAGCTCAGGCTTGTTTTTCTGGTGGCGCTGCTGCTGGCGAGGCTGTTGCTGGTGCTGCTAGAACTCGAGCTGGAAAGACTGCTGCTGCTTCGCCTACTGCTGCTGCTGCTGCTGCTGCTGCTGCCTTTGGAGCTAGCGAGCTCTCTTGGAAGGCGCTCACCGCTGTTGCTTCTGCTGCTGGATTTAGGTAGATTGGCGCTGCAGGGCCTGTTGTTGCTGCTGCTTCTGGAGCTCGAAAGATTACCGTCGCAGCGCCTGCTGTTGCTGCTGCGGCTGGAGCTGGCAAGGCTAGCGCTGCAGCGCCTGCTGTTGCTGCTGCTGCTGGAGCTGGAGGGAGCAGCGGTGCAGCTTTTGCTGCTCGTGCTGCTCCTGCTACTGCTGCTGCTGCTGCTACTGCTGCTGCTACTGCTGCTGCTGCTGCTGCTGCGGGAGGAAGCTGCGAGACAGCTGGTGGTGTCAAGGGACAAAGCCGAAGACCCCACTGTGCTGCTGGCTCTGTCACCCCCCGGCCGCAGCAGGCCGGGGTTGGGAGATTCTCTTGGCCCGAAGCCCATGAGCAGCAGCAGGGCGGGGAGTGAGGAATGCAGCAGCTGCTTCCAGAGCTAAATCTGTCCTTTTTGAATTGTTTGGCAGCAAGTGACTCAATGCAGCTGTTCGTACACCGAATCCGTAGCTAGCTGGGAGGAACGGGGAAGAAATGAAACTAAAAAGGAGCCCAGAGAGCACCGCTAGTGCTCTTCGTGAGGAAATCACAGCAAACACAGGAAGCTCAGAGTGCCCAGAACGAGCTGGGCCGCACACCTGAATTGCGATTAAGCTTGTCAAATACCCTTTAATCACCTGCAGTAACAATGAAGAACAAATGCTGCTAGTTTGGACCTATTGGAAGCTGCTGCTGCAGCAGTGAGATAGGCAGACAGCTGCTGCTGGGTTGGGGGCCCCAGGTGACCCCCAGCAGACGCCTCCGAGGCTCTGCAGCAGAGCTGTATTTTCCCCATTCCAGTATAACAGAATTTTATTTAAACTCTTTTAAGATGATACAATAACAGATCAATAAATTCCAATTGGAATTCAATCTTCTCAAACGACGAATGCAGCAACAGGTCCATGCCAGACGGTTCTATGGTGTAGTGGTTAGCACTGCGGACTCTGAATCCGCCGACCTGGGTTCGAGTCCCAGTAGGACCTTTAGTCTTTTATACATACGATTAGATACGTTGTTACTTTAGTAGAGACTGACTGCATTATAAAAAGAGGTCCTACTGGGATTTGAA